TACTGTACTGTACTGTACTGTACTGTACTGTACTGTACTGTACTGTACTGTACTGTACTGTACTGTACTGTACTGTACTGTAATGTACTGAACTGTGCTATACTGTACTGTACTGTACTGTAGGTGTACTGTACTGTAATGTAATGTACTGTACGGCCATGTGCAGTTATACACTCACCCAATAGTGTAACATCGGGCGTAAATAACCTACAAATATTCTCAGGAGTTTCTCTCCTCTTTGACAGTGGTCTTCTCAATGTGTTATTATATTTTTTTATACTCCCATTATTTTCTTCTGATTTGGAAAGAAATAATTGCATCTCTTTGGAATTGATCGTCCCTAAAAAAAACTCTAATAGCAACAGATGAGCATGGGCCATCGCCATCTAGCAGCGACCCCTCGGTTCTTTTGAGCCGGAAACCAAGTAAACAGCGCTTCAGGCGCTTGCGTATCTCTACGTCACCATGATTCGATGACGTAGTACGCGCCCCTGCAATCAGTGGTGTGAACCCCGCATCGCGGGTCGCAACCAATCATGTTTGCGTAAATTCAAAAAAAAATATTTTCTGAAATTGGAAAGAGTATTAGACGAATAAATATATATAATACGACAGTGATAAAAACCTTAAAAATATTTTAATGAATGGATAGTATACGACCTTAATTTGCATCTTGCCCCTTTCCAGTGTCCCTGCTCCTTTACCTGCCGCACCCCACGCCTCCTCATCTTAATTTACCCCTTTCTTTATTCCTTTTTTTTCTTCTCCGCAACTCGTCCTCTGTTCCTCGCCCTCCCCTTATCCTTTCACTCTCGCTCTTCCCTCCTCCCCTACTTTCCTTTTCATCTTCCTTCTCATCCGTGCCCTCCTCCTTATCCGCGATATCTTATTCTCATTGAGCCACAGGTAGGTGAGGTTGCTCATTCCCTTCTCTCCTCCCCTCCTCCCTCCTCTTTCTCCTCTCCTCTTTCTTTCTCTCCTCCTCCCCTCTCCTCCTTTCTCCCTCCTTCTCCTCTCTCCTCCTTCTCTTCTCCCTTCCCCCTTCTCTCCCTCCCCTCGCCCTCCCTCACGTACCGTCAAAGGTCCCCGGCAGAATGTGCGATATCTTGTTCTCGTTGAGCCACAGGTAGGTGAGGTTAGACATATCCTTCCCTCCTCTCCTCTCCTTCCTCCTTCCTCCTCCCCCTTGCCCTCCACTTTCCCCTCCTCCTCCCCTTGCCCCCACCTTCCCCTCCTCTTACCTCCTCCCCCTTGCCCCCCACCTTCCCCTCCTCCTCACCCTCTCCTCCTCCCTCTCCATCGCCCTCCCCCACGTACCGCCACAGGTCCCGGGCAGGATGTGCGATATCTTGTTCTCGTTGAGCCACAGGTAGGTGAGGTTAGACATATCCTTCCCTTCTCCCTCTCCTTCCTCCNTCTCTTCTCTCTCTCTCTCTACTCGCTCTCTCTCTCTCGCTCTTTCTCTCTCTCTCTCTCTCACTCTCTTTCTCTCGTTCTTTCTCTCTCTCTCTCACTCGCTCTCTCTTTCTCTCTCTCGCTGTAGTTTCCTTGCCTCTCTGACTTTCCAGCCCCCACCCCCTTTGCTCGTTAGAACGTGCTAGATTGCTAGCGTAGCTCGCTTGCTCCCCACTGATATTTAAAGACCTTCAAAGGCAATAAACATATCAGTGTTAACGTCGCAACGTGCCTCCACCTGTTACAGAAGTCTGCGCTGCCAGAGTGCAGCCTAGAACATAGAGCCACAGTGCAGCCTAGAACATGGAGCCACAGTGCAGCATAGAATATGCAGCCACATTGTATCATAGAATGTGCAGCCACAGTGCAGCAGAGAATGTGCAGCCACAGTGCAGCATAGAATATACAGCCACAGTGCAGCCTAAAACATGGAGCCACAGTGTAGCCTAGAACATGGAGCCACAGGGCAGCATAGAATATGCAGCCACAGTGTATCATAGAATGTGCAGCCATAGTGCAGTCTAGAACATGTGGCAACAGTGCAGCATAGAACATAGAGCCACATTGCAGCATAGAACATTAATCAACAGTGCAGCCCAGCATGTGCAGCCACTATGCTGACTCGCCAGTACAGCTTCAGTGTCGTCACAAACTTTGTACTACATTAAATTACTATGCATTCGTTACTCGTCGTCTTCTTCTTCTTCTTCTTCTTCTTTTTCTTTTTCTTCTTTTTCTTTTTCATCTTCTTATTCTTCTTCTTTTTTTTCTTTTTCTTCTTCTTCTTCTTCTTCTTCTTCTTCTTCTTCTTCCTCCCTCCCTCTTCTCTTCTTCTCTCCTCTCTCTCTCTCTCTCTC